AAAAGATCAGATTAATCCAAGATAGATTGAGAACAGCACAAGATATACAGTGGAAGCAATATGACCCAAAGCGTCGAGCAGTTAAATTTCAGGTGGGAAATTTTGTTGAAAGTGGGTCTCACGAAAGGGATAGGTAGATTTGGTAGAGTTGAGAAGCTGAGTCTGAGATTCATTGGGTCTTCTAAGGTGATTGGTTGGATTGGCAATTCTGCTTATCGACCATTACTACATAATTATATGTCGAACGTGTATGATGTGTTTCATGCTTCTGTTTTCAGAAAGTGGATTTCTGATGTTGAGTACAGAGTTTTTGAGAATGAGATTGAGATATAGCCTAACTTAACCTATAGAGAAGAACCAAAGTGTTTTAGTCATTGATGTGAGACAATTGAAGAGCAAGCACATCCTTGTCTTTAAAGTTCAGTGAAAGCGCCGACCAAAAATAGAAGCAGCTTGGAAAAAAGAAGTTGATATGAGGCAGTTCTATCCATATAAGTTTGATAGTTAGAAATTTGAAGGTCAAGGACGACATTTTTTCTGAGGGGAGAATGTAACGGCTACTACTATAGTATAACAGTGAGCCTGTTGAGAAATAATTTTGAAATCGGTAAATCTTGCGTATTTATTTTATGTTTACTGATTTTTTTGAAGTTTTTGAGTTAATTTGATGCTCAATTTATTGATCAATTTTTCATAGTTTTGCTTCATACTTGAATTATAAAAAATCTTCGCTAGATTGTAGCGTACACTTGATTATATTTTGGGTATATTTTTACCTATTATTATGGGTATCATAAGTAAGAAATAAAAAATTCTCGTTAGAGTTTTCTTTCTTAAGGATTTGATACATCCTTATACAAATGGACTTTCTGGAACCATTTGATGTTCATTTTTTAAATTGTTTTCACCAGTGTGTTCTAGACATATTTTTCTATTTATTAACTATTTTTCCTGAATTTTAGAAGTTATATATTTCATGATGAAAATGAATTTATATAATATTTATATATAAAAATATAAGAATTAAAAAAATTGCCATTATCTCCTTTTTCTTAAAAAAAATCAAATATTTTATAAATATCATAACCCGCTTACAATGAACCATCCTCAACCGATATATATACCAGTGAACCATCCACAACTGACATATAGCAACCCTTGAAAATATATTCACAAGTTAATTTAACTTTATGGATGGATGCAAGGGGATGTGAGTCATTATATGGTGTCAATTTCATGTTCCAGTCACAAATTGCCTAAATTTAAAATCTCTGTTCAATTTCCCTTCATTGCATCAATCTTTTCTCAAACTCTAAGATCCCTATCAAGTTTGCAAATTAAGTGTTTTGGAACTGGTGAAAGATGATTTGGGATGTAACTGTCCCTCCACTAACATACTTCTGTTATTTTGTGAAATCTCATTCTTATATTAACATAACGGACCTATAATGCAAACCATGAAATTATGTCAATATAAGATTTAGGGACGTAAGAGTTATTTCTGATGCGAGCAATGAAAGCATGATTAAGGTACATAGGGGTTATGATCAAATACTCATGAAAAATTGCTTCGAAGAATATAAGAAAAATGGTTTTAACTGTTTTATAAGGATGATCAAAATTAAATAAGAAAAAGCAAATACCTGATAGAAGTTGTAAATGTGATCCAAAACTTGTAGGCGAGTAAAGCCACCATCACTGAAGAAGGCTCTTGAAGAAGGCCCAAGCTCACCAAACCGATCAACCGGGAATAGTATAGTAAGGAAATGATTCCTAAATATCACCTCACTTCTCTCACTGTACAAACAATGTGCATAAATTTAAAATTAAAAAAAGTGGCAGAGCCAAGCTCCATTGTGGCGGCCAATGAAGTGGCTTGTCAGCCAGCCAAACAACCCAGATGAATGGACAAAGCTTTACCAGCACCAGAGATGTACCACAAGAAAAAAATTATTCAAGTGCTTTGAATACCTTTCTCTTAACACACGAGAACAGGATTCAATTGATGCTTCAGAATCCCTTCCATCCCCTCGAGCATCATAAAAAACTGAATTAGCGTCATCAATCTCAGAGGATTCTGTGAAGATGCTGGCCGAGAAAGTTGGCTCTGATACTGACCAGCACACTGATTCAAGCAGGCTGCTCGGAGTAATAGGATGAAGTGGCATCTGACAAGACTGGTATTATTTGAAAAAAAAAAGAAAAAACAGGTAATTTTATAATAGTTTTATGGAAAGAAAATGCCAATGGGAAATAATGATGAAAGTGTACACTTATATATATGAATATAAAAATTAATAGAAAAGCATGTAACATATAAAGAAATACATATGACATGCGTACTAATGGAAATTTTAAAATATATATAATCACTGAAAGAACAAAAATTCAGCATTGAGATGAGCATTAGATTCCAGAGTCATATGATGTTTTTTTTTTCCTTTAATTTTTCCCATTTGTTATTCTATGGTTCTGTTAGAATAGAATGTATTTCTATCATTTGCATTATCTTGTTAGGATTGTTTCAGTACTACAAGGTTTCAACTCAGCCCGTGTAATATCAAGTTCATCACGACTCAAGTCCAAATTCAGTTCAAAGGTTTGCTGAGTTGGAGAAGAATCGGGTGCAACAATTGTTTCCCTACTGTCCCAATTATAGTCTTATCATTATTGCTCTATTTTCTAATATTTTGGCAAATAGTTGTTGATTTTTGCTATATTTACCAATGCTTGTTGACTATCTCCTGCTTTCCGATACTTCAATTATTTCATGCCTCTGCTTCCCAATAGGCCCTGTTACACGACTTTGATTTGCAGGAGTGTAGCAATCATTGGATTCCCTTGTGTGGGTTTTTACATGCCGGGATTATAGCTGCAATGCAACTTTCATCTGTGACTTTTCCTAGAAGTCTTCCATCGTTTTTAGAAATTTGGGTACAATTTTAATGCATTGTTCGTTTTCTTTGTGGATTTTTTGTTCAATATTTTTGAATTTTCATTCATTATTTTGTTTCAAAAAGTATAGTTTGTAACTTTTAAACTGAGATGTTTTTGCGTGATGTGATAATTGATAATGTGTCGGGTCAGACTACACCTAATAAGTATGTATAGATGTTGTGTAGTACATTCCAGCCAATATTAAATCACAAAATATGGCAAGCAAGCCATGTATGGGTAGCGCACAAAGCACATAATCGAGAGTGGAGTTGTCACACCTCGCCATAAACAGCTAAGAGGGGTGTCCTTGCAAAGAAAAATCACCAAACTAATGCATTATGGTTTACCTACCGTGTCAAGAATGAGACGTACACATAGCATGTGAGAACAAGTTTGCTCCATCAGCCTCGTGTGACTTCAATAGTGAATTTGAGAGGTGTAGGGAGGAGTTTTAAGATAGAGAGAGAATAGAGAGATGAAAAAGAGTTGGAATGAGAGGCACAACAATGGGCTCACTAAGTGTGCAAAGAAAATCAGAGAAAAAATAGGATTATGAGATGTTTTTATGAAATTATATTTTGAATTGTTGATCACTCATAAATTGTAGACAAATTGAATTGTTGATCACTTATAAATTGTAGACAAATCGAATTAGATATTATTTGATCAAAAAAACATGCATCAAATTGAAATTTTGATACTAACTAGAGCAAAATTTGTACTTAATTCATCTATTGAAATGTTTTCAGGCAACTATTTTTAAAATTTTCATATGGTAACCTAGAAAATCAATCGATTTTGCCAGATAAATTTAGACTTAATAAATTTACATAGTATATGTATGACACGCATTATGATATTTGTTGGAAACTAATTATTAACTATGATAATAATTATAAATATGCTTCGAATGTGAAGAAAAATTATTTGGAATTCAAAATGAGGCATATGGTAAAGGTGTTGCTAAATCCTAAAATTTCCTACATTTAAAGTCCCAAAAAACATTAATTTCAATTCAATCTTCAAAGTATTTAATTTAACTTTAATTTATGAAACCACTATCAGTATCACCAATTCCCCTTTCCATCCCTTCCATACGACTTCACTTTCAACACCTTACTAGATAAGTCTACTCAACTTGTTTCTGAAGCTATTATAGATGATGAGATTGGGACCACTACTGATAGTGGATATTAGAGATCTACATTGCTATGATAAACCCTCTTCTGACAAAGCATGGATTATTTTGCAGAAAGCACAAAAATGTATATAAACGTACTCATGAATATGAAATGCCCAGTTCATCACAGCCTAATATTTTCAAGTTGAGAAAAATTGAAAAAAAATCTATTGATGTATACTCGCCAGAAAAATAAAAAATGAACATTGAGATCAGTATTAGATTCAGTTCTTATGACGTAATTTTTCATTAATTTGTCTTGTGCAAATTGGTAGACCTAAACATACCTGGATATGTTTTATAAAATTATCTTAATTTATTAGTAAATGAAAATATGACATTCAATAAGATACAATGGAGAAAAAAGATTCATGTAGTTGACCACACTTAGTGGGATAAATGCTTATTATTGTTGTTGTTGTTTTTGTTGATGTTGTTGCTGTTGTTGTTGTTGTTGATGCTTGTCTTGTGCAATTTATGCAAATGACTGTTCTAATGAGGATGGAATGTATTTATATTATTTTAATTATCGTGTTGGAAATAGTTCACAATTGAAAAGTTTCAGCACAACTCATGGAATTCTAAGTTCAGTATATTTTAGCTTCAAAATTGGTTTAACATTTGTTTCTCTAATTCTTTTGATTTTCCTGTCTTGCTGTTATTGCTCTTTTTCCTACTGTGTAGTGTAACACATTTGATTCCCATCATACTTCTCGCTGACAACCTTGTTGGGACTGGTTCACAATTAATTCTACCTATTTTAAACCGCCGACATCCAGTCCGCTATTTCCCTTTCTGCCTCTACTTCCCACTAACCCTACTTCTTAGTGAATTCCCTATTATGGCTTTTAATTCCTAGAACTATACATAAAGGAGCAATATTATATTTTTCTTTTCCTAATTACCTTCTACATTTTCATTGTTGAATTTCCCTTCGCTCACGTGCTAAAAAACGAGACTGCTTAAATTTGTGAAACTTGTAATCGACAAAGAACAAATAGAGCCAAATCTGAGTTAATCAAGCAAGCCAATGTCAACTGAAATTATATTGATTTATATTTGACTCGATCAATGTTCAAGCAATTCTTGACTAAATTTCAAGCTTCAAGATTTTTGAGCAAATTTCAAGTTTCAAGCTTTTTTATAAGCCCAGATGCAACCCTAATTTAACATCTTGAAATTTTCCTATAGCAGAAATGATAATCAATATCTTGTTTATTTTGAAGCAAGTGAAGCTTGGTCGTAGAGCAAAAAAGAAACATATCCTTTACAAAAGGTCATTCATAATGCAACAAAATGTTCCATTAAATAGTATGTACTTGAGATGATGATATAAACCAGGAAAATGAAACATCAACAACGGAAAGGTGTGCAATCAATTTACTTGCATGCATCTGGAACGACGATTCCTCACACCCATTTTTGCCAATTCAGCACACTTTTGTCTCTCCTCGAGAGAATCTTTATATTTCCCATAAACATGAAAATTCCAAGAATGTGATACAATTTGAGATAGTCCCTCATGGGTCTCCTGCATAAGGATTCAAAAAAAATCTTTCAACCCTAAAGATTGTCAGCATCAGTTTTAGCAAATGTTAATAGTCAAGAAAAAATATTGAGCCAAAACTTTCAACAGAAGAATAAAGCAATAACATTTCCAGCCACTGTGTCACTTCAAGTCTTTTTAGGTCTAAAAAGAGGTTGATTTTAAAGCATTACATGATTATAGTCCAAAAAACAAAAAAAAGCTTGTCGATGGAATTAAGAGCCTGGTTTATCACAATAGATTGAGCCAAAAGATCAGATTGTTACGCTATGGAACCCATAGCTATCAACAAGCTTGAGACAAGTGTAATTATAAAGGGAAAAAATGAAATTGTAAGTGTGCGATGCTCAACTAGATCACCCAAATCAAAGATCAAGATAGTTTTAGTAGTCATTTTAATCAACTTTTGTTTATTTACTCAAGTAATGCATATTTATTAAGTTTCTGTTGTTTTATGTGATGAGAACTTGAAAATTGCTAGCATTTGCAGTATTTACAAATTAGGCTAACAAGGGTTTATAAATAGATCATCTCCTTGGGTCATGATAGAAATGAAGAATAAGGCAACCTAGGATTTTCCCCCAATTCGCTACTTCAATATGCCACGGTTTCCCTCTCCCTTGTTTCTCTCTCCTCTATTCCAATCCATCCTAATGTCTCTCTATTCCTAATTCACTGCTCCCAAAACCCCTGCAACGTCCTCTCAATATTTCCAGCTCACCTCTCTCATTTCACATCAAAATTGCATGATTTTTTATTTTCATATTCTCTATCACTTTCCTGCTCATAAGTTTATCTAATTTGGAATGCATAAGCTCTAGATATCCTCAAAAGTTTACCATTTCAATTTGGATTTTACCCTACTGGAGAGAAGCTTGAAGGTGGAAAATCTTTTTGCATGTTAATTTCTAATGCTAGAGTTTGACCTCATTTAAGATCTTCACCATCCCCATTATCTTCAAGGTGTATTACAAACACCAGCATGCAGAGATACATGAAAAATTATTGCATACATACACCGCATGCAGAGATGTCTGCATGTGGTATCCGATCCGAACCGTAGATCACCGTGATCTACGGTTAGGATGTATTTCAATGGGACCCACTTTAAATTTTTTTTTTTTCAAAAAATTTTGATTGCATCCTGACCGTAGATCACCGTGATCTACGGTCAGGATGTATTTCAATGGGACCCACTTTAAATTCTTTTTTTTTCAAAAAAATTTTGATTGCATCCTGACCGTTGATCACCATGATCTATGGTCAGGATCGGACACCGCATGCATCTCTGCGTGAGGTAGGGGAGACCAAACCTTTGAAAGGTAAGAGTTTAAAATTATAAAGTTATGAATTTAATATATTATTAATTATTAATTATTAAAAATAAAGTTTAATAAAATCTGGATTCAAGTTAAAGATGTTTCAGATTTGGAGAGAAAAGAGTAGCAGTAGTAAAGAAAAGTTAGAGTTTGATATATTTAAGTGTTAATTGTTTATTAAAAATATGAGCTAATTTTACATACAAATAATTTACATGTGAATAAATAATAATAATTTGTTATATAATATAAATGTATGCATATATAAATCATAAAGCGTGATTGGAAAGATATAAATTACATAAAATAACTAAAAAGTTAAATTAAGAGAACCAACTTTTTATTATCAATATTTTATTAAGTTTAAATTGCTTAAAAAATAATTAAATTTCTATTATGAAATGAAGATAATAATTAGGATAAGAATAATAAAATAATTAATATTATATGATAAATCAATGGTAAAATAAAAGCAAATAGCCCTCTAATAATAATATTAACATATAATAAATAATAATAATAATAATAATAATAATTTTTTTATACATTTAACTATATGTTTTCATTGGAAATAAGTGAAGAGAACGTTTGACAAGAAAATCATCAGTAATTGAGATGAATACTCGTACTATTAAATTATAATATCATTTTTGTATCTCTTCTAAACCAGTTGCATGAGTTGTTACTCATACTTGAATAATGATATTACTAGATATTTATATTCTTAATTTTAATCAATCATTCCAATATGAATGCATATAATCTCAAATTATTAAATATTTTATGCATTATAGTATTAAATATTACTTATTAGGTGATATAAACTTATGATTAATATGAAACGCATAGATTGATTGTATATGTATGATTGACTATAATGGATTCACTCACTTATTTTACTAGTAAGAGGACGCTAAGGTACTCGTACACGTATATAGAAAAAAATATTGATATCAAAGTAAACTAATAGAATTTTTAAACAGTTTTCATGTGACGGTTGTACATATATAAATGATATAGACAATTTATTGATATAGTAAAACACATTAAATATGATAAATATCAAGAGTGATCATATTCATAAAATATCATATGTTTTATTATTGATTTATTAAGAGTTCAATTGGCAAACATATTGTTTTCTCATTCATTGTGCAACTGTAATCTAGGAGCGTGAGTATTTACTAGCTATAATTAACTCACTGTTGTTTTAAACTAATATTTCAGGTTTAATTAGATAATTTAAAGTGAGACGATAGAAGAGAAAATATTTATAGAAGACACATACAATCAAAGAGGTAAACTTAATTGTACTACTTTGTTTTACTTTCTTTAGCAACTCTTTCATTAATTAAATATTAGTTATATAAAATAAATATAAAAAATTTTAATTCATAACGTCCGATCGTCATTACCCACCTTGGTTAAATCCAAGTCTCGAGCCAAGTTATGATAAAAAAAGGTGTCAGAGATAAGGTTTAAGATTGATGCAATATTGATAAAAGAATCAAAATGATAATTATAAAAAAAATTAAGGCTCTGTTTGGCGCAGCTGTAGCTTTTCAGCTTTTCGTTGTAATTGCGCTACCCCAGAAAGCTGTTGTGGGAAAGCTACTACAGGGAAGCTGACTGGTTGTTTATTGTAGCTGTGTGAAAACAACCGTGCGACAGCTGTTTCTAGAAAAATGATCATTTTGCCCATATTTAATTAAACTGTTTGAAACGGAACAATGACAACCTTATAGATTAAGGCTCTGTTTGGCGCAGCTGTAGCTTTTCAGTTTTTCGCTGTAATTGCGCTACCCCAGAAAGCTGCTGTGGGAAAGCTGCTGCAGGGAAGCTGACTGGTTGTTTATTGCAGCTGTGTGAAAACAACTGTGCGACAGCTGTTTCTAGAAAAATGATCATTTTGCCCATATTTAATTAAACTGTTTGAAACGGAACAATGACAACCTTATAGATGATACATCAGAAGCAGAAATTCACTTTACAAGCTAAACATGTAAAAAATAGACTTATATAATTTTTAGTCAATCTCAAAAGCCATAAATTTGATATTTTTTAAGGAAAAAGTTCAAATAAAAACAGTCCAGAATTACAGATATTCATCTCATGACACAGCGAGTTGCATCCATGAGGAAAAACAATTGGACAGTCAATTGCACCATAGTGAATATGTTAGCTAACATCATCGCTGACAAAAATCTCAATCCAAATAATCCCGTAAACAACAGAATAGACCAAAAACTATGTAAAGCAGGCATGCAAATAGTAGGTGACCACTTAGAGGTGTCCATTAATACGACTAATATTATAATGAATCAGTATGAAGATAATGCCAAGTTGAAATTGAAATTAATTTAACGAAATGCATTTTCTCAAGAACACATCCATTCCCCTTCTCTTTGAACCAATCAAGAAATAACAATTTCAATTTTTGATAGCACATTAAAAAATAAAAATGGGCATTTACTAACTACAAAAACTCAGAGGAAAAATTGAATAAGTGCGTTAAAGAAAAATGATTGCCTCGAGCCAATCTAATAACTATTCAGAAATAACAAGATGAATTAGAAGCCTGAATTAAGAAGAACACAAAAACTCCGAGAAAAAATTTGCCCTCCGGAAATTCAGCATCGTACCATCACAACTGCGAAGACATCCTCACCCTTGCGAGTAGAACTGGCAGCAGCAGCCTCTATCTGAGCTTTAATGGGCTCCGATGTCGGCGACTCCTCCAACTTCGTTGTCGGTGGGTTCCATCTGGGAGAGCGAAGAGGTGAAGGGGAAAAAAGAGGGCAAAAAGAAAGGAAAGCTAGACTGCAGGCATAGGAGGAGCGATTCAAGTCGACGATAGGTGACGCTCGCTGTTGAGGATCTCTTGAGAGTGCTGGTTTATGGATCCGAGTGGTGGAGGACAGTGTGTTGAAGGCCGCCACACTTCCGACTGAGAAAGCCATTCCTTCGCTTGTTACTCCCTCAGTCGAGGCCGTATTTTCTATCACGGAGGAGAGGGGAGAATATCAAGGCTTCCTCTTCTTTCGCGGGATCTACCGTCACAGAAGGGCGCACGGGGGTAAAAAGTCGATCCACGAAGCTGGGTCGCAGGTAACAGGGAGCTTTTTGCGTTCGCACCAAATCGCGGGAGGCGCGGCCAAACAGGCAAAAGTAGCAGCACAGTGTCGTGCCGCAGGTCACCTGCCGGCCCAAACACACCCTAATAATAATAAAATCAAAATTTTAAGTAAACTTAAATTAATAATTATATCCATTCAGGCAAAAAAGATACATCTGAAATTATAGAAGGGGGTCTGATAGAAAACTATGAAGTACAACCTACTATAAATATGAACAGGAATGTCTTGTCTCCTGACCCAGATGATGACGTCCATGACTCAGTTAATTCAATAGTCTATATAACATCCTATTGGAAGTGATACAATTATTGTGGATAAGTACTTAAGGATATTCCAAGATTGATACAAAGAGAAAAGACAGTCGTGTTGTACGAAGCAAAATTTACTACATTGTTAAGAAATACACTACTGCAGAAAAAAAGTGCTACAAATTCCTTTCAAGATTAAATAATTTGATCAAACGGTCATTAGTGTCTTTGGGGATCAATGAATACTCAGTATTAGTTGCACAAGCTAGAAGAGTAGAGAT